GATTTTCCCGCGACCATCCCTCCAAAAAATATAAGTTTTAAAAAAATAAAACTTATATTTTTTTTCAGTTTTTTGCCGCCGATTTTCCCGCGACCAGCCCTCCAAAAAATATAAGTTTAAAAAAAATAAAACTTATATTTTTTTTCAGTTTTTTTGCCGCCGATTTTCCCGCGACCAGCCCTCCCAAAAATATAAGTTTTAAAAAAATAAAACTTATATTTTTTTTTCAGTTTTTTTTGCCGCCGATTTTCCCGCGACCAGCCCTCCAAAAAATATAAGTTTTAAAAAAATAAAACTTATATTCTTTCAGTTTTTTTTGCCGCCGATTTTCTAGCAACCAGCCCTCCAAAAAATATAAGTTTTAAAAAAATAAAACTTATATGTTTTTCAGTTTTTTTTGCCGCCGATTTTCCAGCGACCAGCCCTCCCAAAAATATAAGTTTTAAAAAAATAAAACTTATATTTTTTTTCAGTTTTTTTTGCCGCCGATTTTCCCGCGACCAGCCCTCCAAAAAATATAAAATTTGAAAAAATAAAACTTATATTTTTTTCAGATTTTTTGCCGCCGATTTTCCCGCGACCAGCCCTCCCAAAAATATAAGTTTTAAAAAAAATATAACTTATATTTTTTTTTAGTTTTTTTTGCCGCCGATTTTCCCGCGACCAGCCCTCCAAAAAATATAAGTTTAAAAAAAAATAAAACATATTTTTTTTCAGTGTTTTTTGCCGCCGATTTTCCCGCGACCAGCCCTCAAAAAAATATAAGTTTAAAAAAAATAAAACTTATATTTTTTTCAGATTTTTTTGCCGCCGATTTTCCCGCGACCAGCCCTCCAAAAAATATATGTTTTTAAAAAATAAAACTTATATTTTTTCAGTTTTTTTTGCCGCCGATTTTCCCGCGACCAGCCCTCCAAAAAATATAAGTTTTAAAAAAAATAAAACTTATATTTTTTTCAGTTTTTTTTGCCGCCGATTTTCCAGCGACCAGCCCTCCAAAAAATATAAGTTTTAAAAAAATAAAACTTAT